CATTAAAGAGGGTTTCATCCCTCCAATTCTATTCTACCTACTGTACATGGACAAAAAACCGGCATAACACACTACGGGAAATGGAAAAACCGATAAAGCGTAATAAGCTGAGTATTTAGTATATTTTTTCCAGGCAGCAAGAAAGAGTCAAAAGGAGAAACACAGGAGAAACCTGGGATTTGATTCAAGGTTAGTGAAGGCAACACTATAGTTTAAGAAGAGCGGGGCTAAACCACTCGATGATTTCTTTTTCATGTTCTGCAAATCATGATTGAGACCTGCCTGGAAAAGAAAATCCCCTGTGAGGCCTCAAACCCTCGAACTGAACACCAACCGAGCGGTTCCTGAAAACCAGCGAGCTGCAGCTCCAGGTTCACTCCATGCATTTTTCTGCCATTAGTGAGAAAGTGCTGTGTGTGTAACCTGAGCAGAAGAATCTGGCGGTAAGAACGCTTAACCCATGCACGCACACACACACACAGAAAATAAAGCAAGACAGGCACAGCTGCCCTGGTGTGTTTGTACGTAGGTGGGTGAGGGTTAAGTTGTGTTATTTGAGATTTTAAGGCACTGTGCAATTACATGTGTGTGTGTGTGTGTGTGTGTGTGTGTGTGTGTGTGTGTGTGTATGACTCATACCAATTAGGCTGCAAACCTTGGCCACCTCTACATCCTCTCCAGACGAGGCACCAGATATCTAAATTAAAAACTGCGTAATGTGAGAAGACAAAAACAGAGGAGGTATCAGGCCGTAGGNGTGTTTTTGTACGTAGGTGGGTGAGGGTTAAGTTGTGTTATTTGAGATTTTAAGGCACTGTGCAATTACATGTGTGTGTGTGTGTGTGTGTGTGTGTATGACTCATACCAATTAGGCTGCAAACCTTGGCCACCTCTACATCCTCTCCAGACGAGGCACCAGATATCTAAATTAAAAACTGCGTAATGTGAGAAGACAAAAACAGNACTGAGGGATCCAGAGATGATGTCGGTCTGCAACCTGATCCGATGTGTGCGTTTTTGGCCGGAAGACAGCTGGAGTCTCACACATGCAATGCAGTTCAATGGAGATGGAATAAACCTGAATGAAGGACCGTGATTTGCTTTCCAAGAACTGGACTGAAGCAACATTCTTTAAACATTTGTCCTGCATGCAACTTCACATTGAATTGTCGTGGCTTACAGGATTGAGCCATGTGACCTCATGGTGTCAGTCTGTATTAAGTGATAGTTGATCTTAGTTGCATGTGGCAGTGTTAATCCTAGCATGAAACTGCAGCGCTCATAGAATCATTTTTCTGAAACAATCCTCTACCAAGAACTGCTTTGTGTATATTTTCCGTTTGTCACGTTCCATCTCGCGCTTCCATTTTTCTTATTTCAACATTCATTATGCATATGCAGCTTGATTAATATAAATCATGCAAAGGCTCATTCATTCAGACATACAGTATTTCTATGTTTGATATCTTTCTCCTACTCTCTTTCCCTCTTTGTTCGACAATTATGGCCAGATGTCAGCTTCTGAGGTTGGGCTATTAAATCATCACAAATCATCACAGCAGTCACCTAGAATGAACCTGCATGCAAACACTCACACACCATCAGACACAAGTGAGTTGATGAAGATTTTCATTAAAACATTTCCTTCTCTCTTACGCATAACTTACGAAATTTGCTGAAGACACGCTCCCATTGTTATCACATCAGTTTTAAAATATCATTTTTCATCATTTACTTTTCATGGAGAATGAAAATAATTACAAAAGATTGACAGGAGAGAAAAATTGATTGGGAGAAGAAACGAGAGCTTTCTTTGCGAACAGATTTTTTGAGGACATTGATGTTTGTTGAGCATCACAACAAAATCTCTCAGAGTTTCTCTTTACTGGTGGTCCCATAAATCTGCATACACCAATACATGCATACACAACCTCTCAGATAAACAAGTATACACACGCACACAAAGACTATTTACTTGCGCAAACATTTGCCAACCTACACACGATAAAAGACTTCAAGGAATCTTCTAAGTTGCCCCGACATAAAAAGCCTGCCTTCACACAAACGCCTCTCCATCACCCCCAACCACAGGGCAGCGGTACAGAGGATGTTTTATGGCAATCAAATTGCTCTTACGTCCGGGGGAAAAAAATAGGAAACTGTGAAAATATTGAAACAAATTAAAGCGTGACTGAGGAAAAACGAGCCGGCTGACTAAAGATGGAGGAATGAGTGCCGAGATTGAGCGTTAATAGGAAAAAGGTGCTAAAGATATTGAGAGTTAGAAATTGAGAGGGAAAGACAATAAGACGCAGGTGTGGGCTCATTACTGTGAAGCACAGCGGCCATAGAATAATTACAGCAGGACCACACAGGAGAAGAGAGGAGATGAAAGCAGGGAGGAGGTGGAGGAGCAGGCAATGCAAAGCAGCAGAGAGAGAAACTCAGAACAACTGCATCCATGCTTTGAACATCATTGGCTATGCAGATTGTTCCAGCTATGAAAACACGCTAACTGCCTCTCTAAGGAGATGCCATGGCATGATTCGCGGCTTGTATTACAGCGAGGGTCCTCTCTGAAGGTTAACCCAGTGCAGCACTAAGTGTCTCTGGGTGCCATTTGTATAATCTGATGTAAAGTTGTCATTTAGCCTCTTATCTTGAATAGCATGTGGCAATTCTCTTCATCCCAGTTTGAATGGGATTTGGTGCAATGACATCTACCGTACACGTTTGAGTCTTAATACCCTTTTTTTTTTTATTAAAGTTTTGTTTTCTTAAGGGTGTTTTTAAACAGAATGTTTTTCATTACGTGCTAAAATAAAAGCTCTGGAGATTAGGTATGAAGTTTCAAACACGATTATTTGTAGAAAATGTTTACCTAAGTTCTTATTTATTTATTTTCAAAGTTCATTAATGGACTTTGGAACAGTAGTTGAAAGCACAATGTCATTTCAATATCTATTTAATAGCTGTTGTGGTAAATATATCAGAACATCTTCCTCAGCAGGCTGAGTTTGCCCCGTTGTCATGGGGAAATGTTTATGTAAAGATGAGTACAAACATTTTAAACATCTGCAATCTGAAATGTTACACTTTGATTGAACTGAGCAGATACTGGACTCTAAGGTTATTTTGTCTAAAACACCTTTACATTGGCAGGTGCATCAAAAGAGCCCAATATTGCACCTATCTGAAGGTTTTAAATGTACATTGAAAGCTTTCTGCATGTTTGGATGGCATATGGTCAAAGGATTACTTACTGTATAGTCCTTATTTCTCTTGTTAAGGTTAATTCTTCGAGTTCAATGCGACCAAAGTAGCTCATGAGGGTTCACTCAATTCATTGCTTCTGAAGCACATGTGTGCACGCATATATGAAAGTGAATGAAAAGGACGGTGAATGAGTGTGAGTGAATGAGGGAGGGAGGGAGAGAGAGAGGGAGGGAGGCAGCAGCTGTCTGCCTGGATGACCTCAGCTGCAGCTGCTGCCCCCCCCGCCCCGCTGCCCTCTGTATGCCAGCTCGCCTTTGAAGTTCAGGTCAATACCGATACAGCTCTGGATCACAGAACGATAATGATTACTGGAGAATAGAACGCGCTTAATTTATGGCCAATTATCCAAATAATTGAGCTAAACATTTATATTTGTGCACCTGAAATTGGATGGCAACCCTGACAGAAACAGAAAAGGCACTTTCAAGGATGTTTCATTTTTGTGGTCTAAGCAAAAGTTGTATATATAATATTCTAGATATTGCTACATCTATACCAAGAAAACAAGCATTGAGTCTTTTTGTAAACCGTAAAATTTGAGGTTTTTTTTGCCAGCAGAATTCTTTCAAGATTCCCACTTTGGTAAATTAATATTGGCAGGTTATATCTGTACCGCAGTACTTTGCACAAGTCTGTCTTTGAAGTGCCGACGGCGGGCATAGAGATATTCTCTGGAACGCTGGAACCTGACACACACATGCACCCACACACATACTGTACACAGACACACACGCACAGGATGGCATGTAGACAAACACATGGATTGATGCACACACAGAGGGCTGTAGAGACATACACACACTGATTTGCACGTGTTAATATGCACTGACACGCCGTTGACCCGCCAGGTATTTTGTTTACATGGAAGAAGTTAATGGGAGAAGCTATTTGAGTCTCAACTGTATAGAAACAAGACGTTTGTCACAGGGTATAGCCACCACTTTGGAAAAAAACAAAGCCCAACAATGTGTCTTTCATAGAGACATCGAAATGGAGACACACACCCACACGCACATTTCCTGCTCATTCATAATCATACAGGAACACACAAGAACAACAATTGTGGTCAGACACGCGCACAAAGCATAACAACTCAGACAAAAGCACGATTCATTGTCTGGGGAATTACACAGATTTGATTACTGTATAATGGCCCCACCAACCAAACCTGGCTAATTATACCAGTCGAAAGCATACATATTTACACTGAACTGGCATTGTATCTTCTCCAGCTGTCTTTAGTGTCTGTCATTTGAATTGAATTCAAGGTTTGCTGTTGTTTATGTTTCATAGTTTGTTTCTTTATTATATTAATGTTATAATTTATAAAAAAACGTATTCTTATGTCACAGAAACTCACACAGAAGAATCAATGCAAGCAAGCCAGAATGAAAAAAAAGTAAAGAAAAATAAAGCCTGAAAAAACAGATGCTAGGATGGAAACCGTCTGTAATCGTACAAACACACGCGTAAACACAGCCCCCCACTTTTTCAAGAAGAGACTAGTAGTGTAGCTTTCTTCTCCAATCACAATTTTGAAAGTTTGAAAAGTGTCACACAGCCCGGGTCTCAACGATGTTAAAGATAAATCTTCCAAAAAGTTGTTTGATAGTTCTAAGTAACATATTAAGTCCAAAGTAAAAGTGATTTTAGTACCAATCCTCAAACTAATTCAAATGTTGATATTTGCGTCTCATTTCACAGTCACATTGTTTTTCACTTACCTATAACGATGAGGGTGTAGTTGATGTTCACGCTGCCGAACCCGTTGGTGGCCTTGCAGATGTAGGTCCCTGCGTCTTCAGGCTCCACCTCTTTGATCCGCAGACCGTGCTGCAGCACTCTGAAGCGCGTCCAGCCGCTGTGGATGTTGCGGCCATCTTTGGTCCACATGATGAGCGGCGGGGGGTCTCCCTCCACGGGGCAGGGCAGCTTCATGGTGCGACCCAGACGGACGCTCTGCCGGTGGGCCACTCGCTCCGACACCCTGGGAGGACCTGGAGGGTAAAAGAGGAGAGAGGGAGTTATTGAGATGGTCAAACTATATTTATTGTTATTGTAAGATTAGTTACAGGACACAAAGTTTACTGATTAAGTAGGGTGTTCAACAATCTGATTACTAAAGGTGTAAACAGGCGGGTCGGTTGACATTATAGACACCTCCTTAGGAAAGTGTTTTCATTTCCTATCAGAAAAGTTTCTGTTTTTTTCAGCAGCAGAAAAATATAGTTTTTTAATCTGGTTAAAACTAGGAAAAAATATGAAATGATAGACTAATTATTATCCATCATGTTAGCACCAACAGATGTTTCCTTTGAAAGGTCAATCTGATCCACATTGGCAGAGATACATCTAAAATATATATCATTTAACTTCCTATCAAGGGCTATTATTCATCCATTGTTACCCGCTTGTATTCAGGTCCACCTTAAATAAGGTTGCGGCAACTATGTCATGTCAAAACTATTGAAATTCCTTGAGGTCAAAGTGACCTCTTTTTTCTCTCTATTCCAAACCCCCAAATGTTGCATTTTCAATCATTTAGGAAAGATGCTAATTCTTAATGTTGAGAAAATGCAAACAGAATTATTGGTATTTTTCTTCATTTCTGCTTGACGAATGACTTTTAGGTGTGTTGAGAGACGGAAGTATTTAAAGGGAGGTGGGTGTGTCAACAGGTTTAGGATCAAGGTTACAATGACCGCTTGTAAATGCCTTTTCTTCACCTCCATGTTTGCAGCTACCTACTCTTTTTCATTGCTATTCTCCGAACCAATGAAGCATCCATTCCAAATATGGCTTTTAACACACACAAGGTATCCTCTGACCTTTAAGAAGATTATCATGGCTTAGCTCAAACATTGACATCTTATCACAGACAACAATAGAGTACCCAGGCAGCAAACACAAAGCCAAGCTGATATCAACGGAGATGTCGTGGCGAGACATAAAATCAGGCGTGACCTTGACCGCTCAGTAGCCGCTCTACTGTGAAACGGCACACTAGGAAAACAGAGGGAGGTGAAGGAGCCGGCTGATTGACTGGGGAAGGTGGGAGGAAACTGTGGGGGTGATGGAGAGAACAAATAAGCAGCAGGAGAAAGAGAGGAAGGTAAGAAGAGAGAAAGGGAGGAAATTGGGGAATGAGGGAGGATGGAATTTAAGGGAGTCCGTCTGAGAAGAGAATGAAATATGGCCGAAAAGGGGAGCAATAAAATGAAAGACAAACAGGAAGAAGCAGGAGGAGGTATAGGAGTTAGCATGGTTCACTGCACGTCTCCATCTCATTACTCCTTCTGCCTTAAAACAATACCCTACAAATATAGCTCTAAAAACACACAATAGGCCACCTTTTAGCGAACAAAGTGTCCTAACAGACACATTGTTAGGAAAACACCACAGAACGACCCACTGCAGGTCATGTCAGTTTAAGATTTAAAGGAAGGACAAAGGCTCTGTTGATTTGAACAATGGCCCAGATAGAGGCTTATCTAGATTACATATAGTCTGATAAAGATTAGTAACATATCAACGCAAATATAAACATTTAAGCTGGGTTTCATTTAGGGCCCCCTTTCTCTGATACCTTCTTATCACACAGAGTTAACACAGCCAGATAGCTTTAATTTGCCCTTGTGAAAAAGGGGTTAGTATACAATGACTATTGTGTTGTTTCTAGAGAGAAAGAGACGTTGGGATGTGGCCACAGGTGAAGAATAGGTGATCAGTAGAGGAAGAGTTAAAAACCCAATATATTTGAGCCCAGTGAAGCACATGAAGAGGCTAACCCTGCCATTAATGAACGACCAACGATACCTACTGAACAACTTTGTGAAACCAAAAGGATAATTGCAGCTTGCTAGAACTCAATTTGTAACATCCAGCTTCAAAGCACTTCTGTGCCAAATTCCCCACATGTATACATTCAAATAATTCTTGTTTTTTTTGAGAATAGATAGACTTACAAAAACATTATATTGCATATTCCAGTGTACTCCTGTTTTCTAACACCTCTTGAAATGATCCCACATTGTAAAATGAAAAAAATAATGTGTGAGAAAGAACTGCGCCAAGTCAAAGTTAAACCTTGAAGTTGGTCTGTAATGTAAAATGTAATTTAACATTACATTTTATTGAATTGTTTTCTCTTCAAGATAACTTTGCTTATTTAAAAAGCTGTTAAAAACCTGTCTGGCTGACTTATGTATATTTCTTTGGGATAATAACTTGTAAAACATCTCCCTAAGTGGAATAAACATGAAAAATGATCTGCTCCACAGATGGCTTGTAGCACTAACCTATATGCATATTTGTTTTTTGGATTGTCTTTACAGAAACGTGTTTCCCCCTTCCTTCAGAGTCTCAAACTTCAGAAGATTCAAAGAAAGACTCCCCATCATTGGCCCAGCTGTCAATTGTCACCAAAACAAAACAAAGCTTGATTTACTCCACCAATGTGCAGCTGTGGATGTCTGAGATGAATAAGGCGAAGTCGTGGACATAGAGCTGAATAAAAAAGAAGAACAGCTACAGTAGTCTTCTAGCACTTGCTGTTGTTTTAACAGGCGAGCAGGAGGTGGACACAATGATGGATGGATGCTGGGTAAATGTGTGAAAACGGCATTAGTCACACCGAGGAATTCACAGGAGCTTCTCCTCCCTCTCTCTCCATGTGTTCACTCAGCTCTATGGCTTTCTCATCAGGGGACCAACAGCTCACTTCTACTTCTCCTTTTCTATACCTCCATTTCTTTGTATTACATACTGTATATCTCCTCGTTGTAAATAATCTCCTTTCTAACTTGAATTCCTGTCCTATTTCTTTCTTTTTCGTTGTTGTCCCTCTTCCCCCTATACGAATACCTTTTAATGTTCCTATGTTTTCTTTCTTTATATTTCTCTCTTCTCATTTCTTCCTCCAACAGATTGAAATCTCATTCCTCTGAACTCTCTCTACTCCCCTGTTACTTTTCTCTTTCTCTCCCTTAACCCCTCGCTTCCCATTACTCTCCTCCCTCCTCTCTTCTCCACTGTCATCGCTCTTTTCCCCCTTTCTCCCTGCACTCTCTTTTCCTCTTTCATCACACTCATTCGCAACCATCCTCTTCGTTCAGTACCGTATCTTTTCTTTCTCTCCCGTGTGATTTACTGGGATCTGCACTCACACATAACTTCCCCAGTTTCTTCCCCAGAGGATCGCAGGAGCAGAACCTCGAAGTGAACCTTTAACTTTCGACAGTTAACCTCTCTACCTCCCCCTTTTCTTCGTTTCCTCTCTTTCTCTACCCGATGAAGGGAACACAGACCAGCAGCCTCCTTTCCTTCCCCTCCTCATCCTCCTCTTCTATGGTCCATGACTGAAGTAAAGTCTTTTAAAATGTGTCTCTAGGGGTGAAACTGAAGAAAGTAAAACATCTATCCTACTCTTTAACAAGACAAAGGGTCAGTGTGTGGGTCCTATATGTGCTGCTGAGTGTTATGCTAAATATAATCAAATCATTCTAATCACAGTCTTTGTTTTGTTGTCTGTTTATATACTGTTTAGAAAGCCTGTGTCTTTGTACGTCTGCATGTGTGTGCGTGGGAAGGAGAATAGAAAATTGCAGGCCTTTAAAACGTTGGTCTGTTTAGTCCATTTGGGGCTTTACGGCGCTCCCTTGCCTGTAACTGTCTCCCCGAGACAATCTGAAGCACCTTGAAGATTGTTTTTGGGCCCCCAGACACACACAAACACATACCACGCTCCGCCTCCTTCTCCTTATATGCAGGGCGTGTGTCGGTAGATTAGGCGTGCACGTCTGGTATTCTGTAGCCCTAATGACAAGAAAATACGACCCACGTCAGAAACACACTACTCCCACAGAGGCAGCTTCCAGCCCCGAGCTGCACATCCTCTGCATGGATGGTAGCTCAAGGCCAAATAAAGCAGGAATCAGTCCACACGTTCTGCTCTCTTACTGGTGACTCCCAAAAACAACTGTGAATGCAAAGCTTGAATTCCATAAAAGGAAAAGTTTGAGATTTTGGGGACTGCTTAATCCCAATCATTTGTTATGAAGCTGGAGGAGTGCACGCCTCCAGATCCACCAGCTTCAAGACCATACATTTAAAATATTGTTTTAAGCTAACTTAAGACAGCGCCCCCTAAAAATATTGTTTGTAGAGCATAATGGATTTTGTTTGTCTTACTTCTGTTTGGTGGGAAATCGTGCTCCAAGTTTCAAACAGGACGTTTAATCAGCCTTCATTTTTAACTGTTTGGCAAATTTGCATTACTACTGTAAAAGTTTGCCAAATGTTCTATTAGAAGTTCCTTTTTCCAGAGTTAAGATTTGAGTGAGTTATGACTTTACTAAAAAAGTAGTGGGGTTTTTCACTCAAATCCACCTCACGGAGTATCTTTGCCTCACATTTGTCTGGCTCTGTCATCGAGATTAATCTACAGATATATATTTTGTCGTCACACTCAAGTGCACACAGACTGTTTTTCTTGCTTTGGCCAACAAATACTTCTAGTAAACCTTTGCATTTTCACACGGTAACATTAGCAGATATAAAAAAACTAAAGTTAAGCATCAACTCAGTTTTAGTATGTTTTCTTTGGTTCTGTTTTCTTCTTTGAAAATTAGAAAATCATTTCCAGCAAATGTTAGAGCAAAATGCTGTTTGTTTAAATCACTCACTAATGCTTTTCACAGACTTTTCCTTGAGGGAAATAAAATAAGCAATGCCATAACTGTAGGATTGGTATCATATTTGACATTAGAAGGAAAACTATGAACCATGAAAGCAAAGCATGCAACTACTTTGTCCTTTTTCTAGAGTGCTGAAAAAATGCCCGCTAATTTAGTTAATTTTGTGTGCGTACTTTGGCAGAGTGTGACAGCTGGGACTGCCCTTTATGTTTTGGTTTTGGATGGAGAGTTTTTCACTTTTTAATGCCCTTAACGCTCCTCTGGTCTTAGAGTGAGATGGGTCTGCAGAGTCCAACACAACGTTGTTGTTGGCAGGGAATTGAGACTGGAGCGAGAGGGGAGAGCGAAGGAATGCTTTTGATAGAGAACACTTAACAGCGGGACGCAGCGTTGATGTACTGCACAAGGTAGAGGTGTGTGTGTGGATGTATGTGTGTGTATGCATGCTGAGTTATGAAAGACTTAAGTACTGAGAGATAACAAAGTCCTCAAGAGGTCATCATTATTATTGGATCATTTCTTTCTCTCTTGCACTTTTAAATAAGCTCAGGGTTAATAAAACAGGCAGGGAAGGTTTACCCTCCTTGAATGTGCTTCAATGAAAATGTGTGTGTGCACAACTCAAATTACCCAATAACAGTAAGTCGGCTATTTGCGCAACACTTTCTGTAATCCCCCCGTTTTGTTTCTCTATCTGAATTCTCTTTACAGGCCTGAATCCTGTTATCACGTCAATACCCAAACCCTAAATTGATTTTGACCAGTTAGATTGATCGTTGCGTGACGCCACATTAGCTGATCCAGGTTTATGAGTGATTCTTTCTGCTTAAACTGACAGATTTAAGGCAAAAACAACGTCTGACATCTTGCTGATTGTCTTCCCTTCTCTTCCCGTGGTTCAATTACACACACTAAAATGTTCAGGCCTTTCTGTGGCCTGAGGCAGGAGGCAGACTGATGGCTACACATTAAGTTGTCTTCTTCAGGTATACACTTTCTTGTTGTCACTTCCACCTCGACAAAAGGTCAACTGCTGCTTGTTACTCCGTCCTGACAGTTAACACCAGGCCCGAGGCTGGGGAGGATACGCCGACATCCTTGGAGGGCTACGTGACACACACGCACATACACACTTTCACACATAAATCCAAAGGCTTACACTTGTATCACACGCGCACAAAAAAGGAAAACATACAGCAACCAGGAAAACCTTGAGGAATCTGCTGAGTGGTCGGTACAGCAACAAAATCCCCAAAGCTAACCACACCATTGTCTGTCTTAGAGCACACACACACACACACACACACACACACACACACACACACACACACACACACACACACACACACACACACACACACACACACACCCACACCCCCCCCACACACACACACACACACACACACACACACACACACACACACACACACACACGCACACACTCTTTCTCTCACACA